TCTCTCTCTCTCTCTCTCTCTCTCTCTCTCTCTCTCTCTCTCTCTCTCTCTCTCTCTCTCTCTCTCTCTCTCTCTCTCTCTCCCCACATTACTCAGCTTAGGCTCGTGCTGGGAAACAGGTCCAGCGTCCACCCTTTCTCACATCTGAAAAGAATGACCCTGCTGAGACGGAAGAACAGTTGTTGCTGGAAATCAGGTCCACCGTCCTTGCTCTAAGTACCTTCCCTTTGCCTCTCAATCTTATTCTGCAAATTATGAGCACACTGTTCCTCAAACGATTTTCTTGGGACCCTCACAGCCGGGAGGCACTGATAGGAATCGACTAGTAAGTCTCCTGGCTGAGAAGAAGATTTTGCCGTCGGAAGTAACTGTTGTCCCTGCCCATTGAAAGGGGCATTCCCACTGCCTTGTGGGAGGAAAGGGACAAGTTTTACGAGCCCATTGTTGCGGTAGCCGTCAACAGGGTGCGGGCCCGTAACACTTGTCGCTTTCCTGGGGCTCGTAAAACTTGTCCCTTTTTGAAAGGGGCTCGTAAAACTTGTCCCTTTTTGAAAGGGACTCGTAAAACTTGTCCCTTTCGTCGCACAACAAGCCAGAGAAGAAGATTTTGTCGTCGGAAGTAACTGTTGTCCCTGCCCATTGAAAGGGGCATTCCCAATGCCTTGCGCGCACTTCGCAGATCCGGCGGCTAAAAAAATATGTTATCTTCTGTCGAGCACTCCTGTACTCCGCTAGAATCAGCGTTCATACCGAAAATCTGAAACTGTTCCTTATACCAACATCCGCAGCAATTACTGTAGCTTTCCCATCGAAGCCCCTGTCTCTTCTTGCCAACCACAGTAACCAGAAGGCAATGGCTCAGAACTGAAGCCCCAGTACATGCGAGCTATCGGAAGCGGGCCGCTTTCTTTCGGAGGCCGCCCACCGCCGATGCATTTCATTTTATCCAATAGAAGTGATTACAAAAGTTTCACTTCACATGGCGGAGTCTCCGTAAGACTTAAAAAAAAAAAAAAGGACTTGTCCATACAAGTCTTGTACCCAGTCCCAGAAGCCTCGTGCAACCACACATTCCCACCACAAATGTTCGGAAGATTCCACTACGCACACATTCCCACCACAGATGTGCGGAAGATTCGACTCGGGGATAGGGACGCTGGTCACAAAATATATTGATCACCATTCTGCTGTGGGAACACGTGAATGCATCTGCATCCATTGTTCTTCCCCCCCCCTCTTCCTTATGACAACTGTTAAAGAACAACGTAGGGCCTTGCTCCACTACTCACCACATGCACAGACGACAAAAAAATATATGGCGGTGTCTCTTCCCATGTTCTTTTTTTTTCCCCTTTATTTAAAAGCCCAGGTTGTTGTAGAGGCCAGATTCCCACCCACCATAGCCGGCACTGTCATGTTCTAGCGGAAGATTCATTCTCTTTTTTGCACCTGTGGTGAGTAGTGGAGCGGGGGGGCCATTACCGGGAGGGGGGGCCATTACCGGGCTTCTAACCTGAAAACTTGGGAGCAATTGCCCAGTATATATATATATATATATATATATATATATATATATCGTCAAAATATATATATATATATATATATATATATATATATCGTCAAATAGAACTGCCCGGTAAACCGTAGGCAGAGAGGGAGAAGAGGACAACAAACGAGGGGCTGTGACAAACTGTTTCGTCGGAGTTTCACCGACTCATCAGGAGGCTGAACCCTATATATATATATGTGAAACTCCGACGAAACAGTTTGTCACAGCCCCTCGTTTGTTGTCCTCTTCTCCCTCTCTGCCTACGGTTTACCGGGCAGTTCTATTTGACGATATATATATATATATATTTTTTAATGTGGTCCGATGGACCACGGATCAGATATTAAACTGATCAGAACAGATACTACACTTGATCTTAGCCGAGAGGCCGAGAAAGGTATTTATATATTATTGGAAATCTTGTGCAATTGACAAGTTCCGACGGAAAATTTGACGACGAATACCGCTGCGGCAGACTTCAACACACATCCAGGGACCAACAGGCCTACCGGTAGGTAGCTCAGGTGGAACAGCCCTGAACTGGGGCTAGGGCCCACTAGCAAAGTGGATCGAATTAAGAACCTGAATCTGAATAGGTTCTTAGCGGAGATGCAGAAGAGCAGATCAATCACAGTTTTTTGCATCTGTCCCGAAACACGTCCAGATTCATGCGTCGTGGGACCTCGCCCCTGTTGAAATACAGCGTCTGACCCCTGAGTTAGAATTAGACCTCCCCACCATGCAGAGCAGATGAGTAAAGTACAGTACTGCATTCTGAATTACCACGGGGAGGGTCTAAAAAAAGGGGATGGCCACACGGAAGCTAAACCACCCTCTCTCCTACCCCTACAGTACACTCCCCTCTAGGGCAAGACTTATCACAAGTTACCCACCATCTCTATCTGCCCTCCAACCACCAATCTCTATTGCAGCTGGGCCCTCCAACCATCCATCTGAGAAGACTACTGAAGAGTCCAAAACAGATCAAGGAAAGCCTAAAAAGGGGAGGACCACACCCATTGCAAGCTAAGCCACCCTACAAGCCTTATCCTCCCAACAGAACCACCATCTCTATTTCAGCTGTGTCCTCCTGCCGTCCATCTCCGTTGCAGCTCTGCCCTCCAACCATCCATCTGTATCTCAGCTGTGTGCCCTCCAACCATCCCTCTCTGTTGCAGCTGTGCCCTCCAACCATCCCTCGCTATTGCACCTGTGGCCTCCAACCATCCATCTCTTTTGCAGCTCTGCCCTCCAACCATCCATCTCCATTTCAGATGTGCCCTCTCTGTTGCCGCTGTGCCCTCCAACCATCCCTCACTATTGCAGCTGTGCCCTCCAACCCTCCATCTCTATTGTGGCTGTGCCCTCCAACCCTCCATCTCCATTGCGGCTGTGCCCTCCAACCATCCATCTCTATTGCGGCTGTGCCCTCCAATCATCCATCTCTCATGGCACTAAGGCACTATCAGAATGCGTTCCATCCAAAAACCTGCAGTGGGGTGCAGACGGTTGCAGGTTGTTGCACCCCTCTTAGCTACAACAAACAAGGCAGAGGATGGTCCCAAGAAGACCGCCCCTGAGCCTCCTCTTCCCAATCTGGAACAGTCCTAATGAGGGCACTTACCTTCCACCCTTGCGGCCACTAACAAGGGGAAGTAATAGCTGCTGGCAGTCAATCGTAACGACAGCCTTGGATATCGTGGCTCCCCTTTCTTTTTCAGCCATAACCCCCCTTTCTTTTTCAGCCACAACCCCACAACCCCCTCCAGTGCTAGTGGTGCTGGTAAGGGCAGACACCGCTAGCACCTAGGGGGGGGTCCATCTATTGGTGGGGAGCATCACCTGCTGGAAAACGGGTCCAGCGTCGCAGCCAAACTGAACAAAGTGCCTTGGCATTAACTTTGTTTTTTGTACCTAGCCCACGTGGCGGAATGGTACACAGTACTACACACACGTAACTGTCAGCAAATGTAGATCATGAGTTCGAATCCTGATTGATTGGAATCAGATGAACAAAAAAAACTTAGAGGATGGCCCCCTTTTGTTGAAATAAAGACAAGAAAGAAAACGTGAAAAACACAAGAAAAAATGTTATCGACCTTCGATCAAAATGTGGAAAAGGAGAGGGAAAACAATCGGTGGTCAGGATCCTTCTTTTCATTTCTCGAAATTTTGATAGTCAGTCGGTCATACTGTTAATCAATCAATCAATCAATCAAGCAATCAAATGAATTGATGGTGAGGATCATCGGATTGATTGATAATCAACGAAGCGTCGGGCGTCGATCCATCCCACCATTGCTTGACAGCAGAGAAATCTGTGCGCGGATTGCTTGCTTGCTTGCAATGGGGTGACAGGTCAGCAGAGCACATGGGTGCCCAATTCTTACGCCTGCCACCGGAGTAGTCGGTTGATGCAGATGGGACTATGCTGCTCTCAATGCGCGGAAGGTTAAGCGACACGTCAGCAGATGGGACTGACAAGTTAGCAGATGGGAGTGATGTGCTGCTCTGGGTGGGGGGTGACACGTCAGCAGCTGGGACTGACAGGTCAGCAGATGCAAGTGACACGACTGATAGCTCAGCAGATGGGAGTGATATGCTGCTCTCAATGTGCGGAAGCTTAGCCACAGCTTTGAGCTGATGGGACTGACACGTCAGCAGCAGATGGGAGTGCCAAGTCAGCAGATGGGAGTGACAGGTCAGCAGTCGGTCGGCTACTACTGCTGCTGTTGCTGACGATGCGATCAATGTGCGAAGCTTAGCCACAGTGCCTGACCTTCTCTGCATGGTCATGGTGCACGCAAGATGACGTCAACAACAAGAGCGGTGGTGGATTGGGCGAGGGGGGGAGCAGCAGGCGGATCGAGGAAGTTTGGCTTCGACTGCGGAGTCCGGAGTGATGACGTGCCTGCCACGTGGCAGCTTCACGACCTGGCCTACAGCTGCTCCTCGCTGCCCTCTCGCTGCCGACGGCGATGGCGACGAGAACAGCGCACGTGTCTGCAGTCTTTCCCTGCCTGTTCCTCCTCCTCATCATTATGGGTATCCCGACCTCATCGAGATTTTCCTCTCCCTGCACCTTCTCAACTGTGCAGTTGTAGGATCTCATCATCATCATCATCATCATCATCATCATCATCATCATCATCATCATCGTTATCATCATTATCATCATCCCCCTCATTCTTATGGGAGCCAAAGAAGATGATGATGGGACGAGATCTTCTCTACCGTGGTGCGCATTGGCAGCTGCAGTGCATTCCGATCCCATCCCGGACCTGGGGCATCAGGCAAATTCCACCTGTGGCCTTCCCTGGGGTATCATCACCAGTTATCACGAGTCCAGATCTCAGCTGCTACTACGATACCGATCTGGACTGCCGTCATCAATCCATAGTAAATCCGATGTCGACAAGCGGGTGCGGCCATCGCCGAGGCTCCAATCGACGTGTTTCACATTCAGGCCATCGAGGAGAAACGTGTTTTGCGTCTTCTCGTCCTAAGATTGCGAAAGCGAAAATGTTCAAGAGGTGGAGAAGGATGACGGTCGGGGTACCAATCATTGCATCAAACACAAGACGCAGCAACAGGAGCCATTTACTTCAGCGACATTTCACACTCCTATCTTCCTCCTCCTCCTCCTTTTCCTCCTTTTCCTCGTTGTCCTCCTTGCCCTCCTCATCATCCTTATCCTTATCACCGTCGTCGTTGTCATTGTTATCATATGCGTCGTCACCATCGAAGCGTGGTGCATCTCAGCCGGTGATGTACAGTCTGTCTTCCTCTCTGTGCTGGTGCTTGCCACATGTTTCCAGATGGGCTGTTGCTGCGAGTGGTGGCAGTGGCACCTCCTCCTCATCGACTCTGGGTGAGGCACATGTTTCCTGTTCACTATCTTCGTCAGCATTGTCTTGGCGCGAGGCAGTCGTCCCCTCTCCTGTCTTCTCTCCTCCTCCTCCATCTCCTCCTCCTCCTTCTCCTCCTCATCTGAGCCGTCTGTCCTTTTGCCTGTCGGATGCAATCCCGACCGTCCGGTCATCTCGGCGCCAGCCGTGGGCGGCTTGCCAAGCACTCCCATCAGATTCTCGCCACGTGTCCTTTCCCAAGCAATCAACCTCGTCGTCGTCGTCGTCCTCCTCCTCCTCCTCTTCCTCTTCCTCTTCTCCCTCCATTCCACACCTCATCCCGCTTCCGAGGCGGACTCTTCGGAAGATTTTGCCGTATACCGGCACTGGGGAGCAGTTGTTGTATTATATTGGGGCGCCGGACACGTGGCTGCGGAGGATTGCAATCTCCTTAATTGGCTTCATTGTCTTCTACAAACTTGATTGGCCTCTCTTCACGACCGTCTCGTCCCTGTATTGGTTATGGATCCCGATTGCAACGACGGCTCAGTCTAACCTCTCGCTCGGCTTGCGATATCAGTACGGAGCTCTTTGGAAGACAAAGCTGCATGTGGTCGAGATGATAGACTACGTGATCAGGACAGAGAAGAGGTCGACGGCTCGAGGCCGCATCGTGGCCAAGCCAATCACCGAGCTGCGGCTGCGGATAGTTCTCGGCGATGGCGATCGGGATGGCGATGGCGGAGGTGGTGGTGGCCCCATGATCGAGATGTTTGTGCCGATGCCGGAATCCCGACCCGTTCTCCAGCCCGGCGAACCGGCGGAGCTCCTCGTCCTCTCCGATCGCCAATCATTGACCAGGTTCAAGGTAATCCGGGATGTATATTTGCCACGTAAGAAGATGTGGATAAGGAACTTTCCAAGAGTTGTCACGTCGGCGTTCGAGGAGGCGAGTGCAGAGCTCAGCGATCCCAGCTACAGACAGCGGTTTGGTCGAAGGACGGGATCGCGGTCGGGCATGGCGAGCCGGGGGAGGAGATCCTCCTCCTCCTCCTCCGCGTTCTCGAGGAATGTCGGGAGCCCGTCCACGGAGAGCGGACGCTATCGAGTTTCCGGCCGCCAGCAGCAGCAGCAGCCCGCGCAGCGGCAAGGATACAGAAATGGCGGGAAACTTGATGAGTCTGTGCGATGGCGGGAAAATCCTCGTACAGCTTATAACAGCTATGGCGGCTATGGCGGGTATGACGGTGCTGCGCCATCGAGCAGGACTTCTGATCAGCGAGCCAGGAAGGATGCAACAGCGATCCTCTCTACCGAGCGTGACCGAATGGAGGAGGAGGACGAGGGGATCCCGATCTGATCATGGCGCTATGAGTGAGGGCCGAGTATCGCACTCGACAAGATAGACTTGTCTACATTTTTTCTAAAAGTTTAGTTGATTATTTAGTTGTTTAGTTATGTGGGAGGAAATTTGAGTGGACTCCTCTTCTAGTGATGTAATTACTGAGAGCGGGGGCCCAGGTCCCATTTGCCCAGATTCTTCCTTTCTGTCGGTTAATCTTCATAATCAGCGCTCTGGAATGGAGAAACCGAGTGCACGGGAGCTCGCCGCAGGGTGTCTGATTTCGCAGCTGCACACGCGCAGACAGACATGATCATGCATGCATGCATACACGCCTCAGCATGTACGCAACCATGCATACATGGCTCAGCGTGTACGTAACCGTGCATGCATGCGTGCATCCACGGCTCAGCATGTATGTAACCATGCATACATGGCTCAGCATGTATGTAACCGTGCATGCATGCATGCATCCTCGGCACAGCATGTACACACCCATACATGCAGGCATGACTCAGCATGTCTGTCACCGTGCATGCATGCATGCGTACACGGCTCAACATGTACGTAACCATGCATGCATGCGTACACGGCTCAGCATGTACGTAACCTTGCATGCATGGCTTGGCATGTACGTAACCATGCATGCACGGCTCAGCATGCAACCATGCATGCATGCATGGCTCAGCATGCACGTACGTAACGCTTAGCCATGCATGTGTGCATGGTTACGTACATGCTGAGCCGTGCACGGTTACGTATATGCTGAGCCATGCATGTATGGTTACATACATCCTGAACCATACATGGATGCATGGTTACGTACATCCCCATGCATACATGCATGATTACGTATAAATGCCTGCAAGAGGGTTTTCAATGGATCCCCTCCTAAGACAGAAAAAAGGCACCTGCTGCTGCACTTCTCCTAGTTGATCTAGGCTTTTAACTAGATGACGAAAGAATGATGCCGGTATTGGGGGATGGGCGGGGGGAAGGGGGGAATGATGAAGAACGATGCCGCGGTAATACCGTAGCACGGATGTCGCTAGCTCTGTTTCTTCTTTTTCTTACGTTGCTAGCCTTTTTTTTTTTTTTTTTTTTTTTTTTTTTTTTTTTCCGCGGTCTGGGGGGGGGGGGGGGGGGGGTGGTTTTTTTTTTTTTTTTTTGTTTTTTTTTTTTTTTTTTTTTTTTTTTTTTTTTTTTTAATCACGCCCCCGTAAGACAGACACAGCACCAATTGGGCCTGGGCGCCGTCAACTATATGCCTTGTTCTGCCGTCACGGTGCATGCTTCATTATTACCGAGCAGAAGTGAAGACCCCCAAGGAGTACATAGCAGCCCCTTCGGTTCGGCAAAGCACAAAAGTAGCCCTTTTGGAGTGTTTCACTTGGACGTTGCGGATGTCCAAGTGCATCATGTTGGAGTGTTTCACTTGGACATTGTGGATGTCCAAGTGCATCATCTGCATGATGCTCTAGTGCACATCCTGCCTGGCCTAGCTTTGCCCTTGCCAACATTCTTACTCCTTTCTCCATGTAAGTTCAGGATAACTTTGGATAACTTTGGACAACTTTGGTTAACTTTGGATAAATGCGGTCAAACATACCTTTTTTTTTTTCTTTCATAAGTTCGTTAAAATTGGAACGATACAGAGAAGATTCGCATGGCCCCTGCGCAAGGATAACACTCATAGATCGAGAAACGGTTCAAAACTTTGGCGGTCAAATATACTTACTCCTTTCTAAATGAAAGTTTTGGGACAACTTTGGAGAACTGATTTAGATAAATGCGGTCCATGTGTGTCAAAACTTTGGCAGTCAAATATACTTACTCCTTTCTAAATGAAAGTTTTGGGACAACTTTGGATAACTGATTTAGATAAATGCGGTCCATGTGTGTCATCACGCGAACAATTTTTGGCAAACTTCACCTCTGTGCTTCAAGGCAAAAAATGTTGGTTCGCCCAATGATGATAATCAGATAATGTGCTCCATTTCTCCAACGTCACATTGCAAAAGGAAGTAAAGGGGGTACAGGGGTTTGAGGGGGTGCTCTTATTCGTCCTCTTTTCGTTTTTGAATGAAGCTGGTCCGTTCTCTTCTCTCTCTCTCTCTCTCTCTCTCTCTCTCTCTCTCTCTCTCTCTCTCTCTCT